TGAAACGGGATTTTCTTGTTTTGTATGGCGGTAGCGAGACGCGAACTTGGAATTCTCAGCTCTACAGTCCGGCATGTTAACCATTGAGCTGTTTGACACCACAGGTATGTTACGATTATCTTAATGCTTCAACAACTTTGTCTTTCCAAAAATACAATAACAACTTTATTTTATGTCGTATTAAAAAGTGCATAACTTGCATCAGTCCAGTGACACACACACACACATATATATATATAGAAACCAGTGACACATATATAATATATATATATATAGAAACCAGTGACACATATATAATATATATATATAGAAACCAGTGACACATATATAGAAATAAATATACAATTTTCTGTTATGCTTTAGAAATAGTTGAAAAAGCATTATTTATAGATATTTAAAAACAGTATTACAAATAAAAAAAGAAAGATTACATGATAAAGGAACAGAAGAGAATTAGTAACCAGAAATCAGTGAGATCCGTTAGCAGTCAAATAAGGAATAAGGTGTTTTTTATGGCACAACGCAAAGTCTTCCAAACATAGTGTCTGATTCATCATGTGAACCGAGATGCCAACAGAAACAAAAACAAAAGTGTGTGTTTGGGCATACTTAGATTACTCGTGATTTTGAAGCCAGGTGTAGTGTAGTTGTATCCTGTTACTTGTGACATCCTTTGATCCAACTTATTTTACACGTAGATAATTTACCGTGTTGAACTTTACAGACATCGTTGTCTTTTTGTCCGTGTGAAACTAACTTAAACTTGCAAATTCACAAGACGGAGAGGGCGGTGAATTGTGGGTCTACTGACGCGTACGTGATTGATGATCCGAAAACTTTACCTACCGTGAAAGCCAGGAAACATGGACATACGAGGCACGAAAAACAAACGTGATATGCTAATTGTTAGAGTTTTAGGATAAACGTTTGGGATAAACGTATATAAGGATAACCTGGAATCGTCCTCAGATTTACTCAGCTTACCAATCAGTCTAAAAAATGGGAAGGAGAGAATCTAAAAGGATAAAGAAACAGTCCAAGCCGACTATCCTAATAATGAATTTGAACGGTCAACTTTAACCCCCCCCCCCACTGGCGTAGCGCTATGTCTGCGGACTTCCAACGCTAGAAACCGGGTTTCGATACCCGTGATGAGAAGAGCACATTATGTAGCTTTGTGCTTAACTTCAAACAAACAATTAACTTTAAGTATAGTTAACAAACCCATTTCGTATGAAATTCGTGATTTCTTTTGTACGCTTTGAACGTTATTTAAAATACACCAGTAGGAAACTTACCCAATGTTATTTGTCAGCCACTTTGTACCTCTTAAGATGTAACTTTTACAGACCATGGTCTAGTAAAAATAATTTATAATTTTTATCGATGGTACGAACAAATGTACTGAACATTGAATAGACGCTGTCAGTTAGGAACAATAAGACAAACTATTCTGTTAAAGAGAAAGATGACTTAAACAAAAGGACGAGGAATAACGATTTTTCATTTAGTTAGAATGATTTTCAGATTCTTTTTTACCTTGTTTATAGATTTATGAAGCCAAAATTATCTACATCTGCAGATCGTGCTATTTCCCACATAGCACTGAGTATGAAAAATGAATGACTTATTGCTGTTTCCTAGAGCATGAACGTGTTTCAGATGGTCTAACTAACAATGACGAAAAATGAATGACTTATTGCTGTTTCCTAGAGCATGAACGTGTTTCAGATGGTCTAACTAACATTGACCAAAAATGAATGACTTATTGCTGTTTCCTAGAGCATGAACGTGTTTCAGATGGTCTAACTAACATTGACCAAAAATGAATGACTTATTGCTGTTTCCTAGAGCATGAACGTGTTCCAGGTGGTCTAACTAATAATGGCGAAAAATGAATGACTTATTGCTGTTTCCTAGAGCATGAACGTGTTTCAGATGGTCTAACTAATAATGGCGAAAATGTATGATTTATTGCTGTTTCCTAGAGCATGAACGTGTTTCAGATGGTCTAACTAATAATGGCGAAAAATTTATTATTGCTGTTTCCTAGAGCATGAACGTGTTCCAGGTGGTCTAACTAATAATGGCGAAAAAT